TTTATTTCACATGAGCATTAAAAAATACATTAATGAAAGTACTTCCCATCACTTGTAAAACGCTACGAATTAATTCCAACACCTAATATATTTTGTCTTTTATCTCGAATTTGATATTTTTTGATTTCTTGACTCTTCTCTTCTCTTTCTAAAAATATAGTTCTTATTCTTTTATTTCAATTTTCTAATTTTCTAAAATATTTTTTTTACAGTTCTCAAACTTAATTTAGATATGTAATATTCTTATTTAAGTATAAATTTATTTATACTTAAATAAGGATATTACATATTTAAGTATAAATTTATTTATTTAAGCATAAATTACTTTACTCGAGTCATAACAATTAATTTACATTCTAACAAACAATGTTATCACGTCAATATCCTTAGCTTATCTCAATGTTGGCGATTACAATATGATCCTGATCGATTGGCGGGCAGCAGCCAATCATTTGTATTCAAAATCCGTGAGAAGTACGCCAATTGTGTCACAATACGTAGCCCTTTTGATAGATTTCCTGGAGAACAATGCAAGTCTCGATCCTGATAGAACCACAATAATCGGATATTCATTGGGAGGGCATATCGCCAGTCTCAGCGCTCGTTTTGCGACTGGCAAGATCAGGGAAGTAGTTGGTAAGTCCAACGATGAAGCTTTCGATTCCCTATTTAGTTATCTCTTGATCCTAAATTGAAACAAATTTCTCATTTATAGCTTTAGATCCTGCAGGACCTTATTTCGAGTACAAAGAACCAGGAGAAAGAGTGGATAAGACGGACGCGATTTTAGTCCAAGTAATACACACCTGCATAAAGTACATAGGTATAAAATCAGCGATCGGCACTTCCGATTTTTATGTTAACGGCGGCGAGGAACAACCAGGATGCGGTCGGATCAGATGGATCGGTAAATAAAGTTATCGATATCAGTTAACATCGCTTACATTGATTCATTAGTTTAAAAAATAATTAATTCCTCCACATTTGTAGGCAATTTAATGGCAATAACATGCGCGCATATGCGAGCTCTTGAGTACTACATCGAGTCCATCCTGAATCCTAGGGGCTTCCGCGCCGGAAAGGTATTCATGGGTGGACCATCCCTCGATCCAAAGTGAGTTTTAATATAAAATAAACATTCTTTGTTTTAAACATATAATAAGTTGACTAAAACGTCAATTAATTCATCCATTGTTTGTGTCACTTGCAGTGCATGTGGAGTGTACATTCTGGAGACTGCCGACAGATCACCATTTGCACTCGGATAGCAATATGGATAAGAGAACAATATTATTGTTATATATTTAATATTTTTAAATTGTACTCATATAGCACATGAGTTTACAATAATATTGCTGCAATGTTTGCAACGTTACTGCAATTATTACTGAAACGTTATAATGTTGCTGTAATATCGTTGGAATGATCTATGCTGTATTAGGCATATTAAAAAATTACGAATGTTCTGAATCTCTTTGAATGTTAATGGAATAATCAATATTTTCTTCATGATTCAATACAGTTTAAAATTGCATTTCACTTTCTTCAATAATTACTATATTGTCACTGTTATCAATAGAAAAACTTTTACTTTGTCATGGCATTAGATATCAGTATAATTAAAATTATCAAAACACAAATTTTGTTCATACAAAACTTCAAGTTAAAAAGGAAAGAACTCATAAATCAGTAAAAACAATAATGCCAATCAAAGTCAAACATAAGATAAACGCATATAATTAAATTTTATTAGTGTAATACAACGAAGTTTCCAACGTTTTGGATCCTTCTCTTTGTCTCCGATGACAGATGACATTGTATTATTAGCATTATATCCGAAACTGTTTATCCCGAAAAAAAGATATCTGATTATAGTTATCAATTATTTTTTTGAAAGTTTTTAAAATTAGTTTTAATCTTTTAATTGATTAATTTTAATTAATCCATTCAAACGTGATTGACGTTTGTAATTTATGATGGCTATCGATATTAACGATAACTTATCAATCATACGAATAGATAGGAATAGATAGGTATCTATCGACGAATTATAAAAGAAAATGTTATATACAATCCTTAATATTGCTAAATTTGCAAACTTGTGAAAATTACTTTCAAGATGGTTACTTCGCTGGTAACTACATTATGTACGTAAAATATTAATTACCTTCGTGATTAAAAATTTCGCAATTAAGTAGTCGTGGAAAAAAAATTAAAATTTTGGACTTGCAGTTACATCCGTGAAAAGATTTTCTTAAAATTGCATTTCCATAAAGAAAAAAATATTCTCATAAATTCTACATAAACCTATTCAATTTTATCTTACGATTCTTACAATTAGAGAAATATTTTAAACGGATATCTTTTACTTGTAGTATATCCTTCCTTATTGGCGTCCATTGCGACAAATTTGAATTATACAATTGTCATCGACGATCATGGAATACCAAATCTAATCGATACGAACAAACCTAAATTTAGACAAGTAGATTTCAAAGAGATCGATGAATCCGTGCAAAAGACCACCTTCTATTTGTATACCCGGTATGTGTTTGAAATATTAGCGCAACATCGTAATTACAAAAAAATATCGCTTCTAAATGAATCTTTTCTTCTCTAGAAACAACCCGGAAATTGGACAGCAGCTAATCATCGACGATATGGATAGTGTAAAAAAGAGTTTTTGGAATCCTAATCATCCCACTCGATTCGTCACTCATGGATGGCACGGAAATTGCGATGGAGGTTGCACCCAGATTCGAGACGGTATAGAATCATTATTAATCTTAATTGTTTTTGAATTCTTTCTTTTTCGGATTAATAATTAATTAAATTTAATTTTCGATAATATTAAGTGAAAATCAATCGAGAAATGTTCGATACACAAATAAACGCCTTATTCAGTCAAAGCGAGGTCTTGGTGCATAATATTAATAATAGTATAAATTTTTTTTAATGTAAATTATCCGCACACGGAATAAGGAAGCTCCAAGTTCACATACTTCAGCTTCAGTCTAGGATTGCATTCAAAGAACGACAAATATACATATATAATCGGTGCAATTTATGAGATTGTAAAATTCAAAAAACACAAAAAATATTATTAAACATCAAGACCCACTTTGGTCATATTTATTTAACTCACTCTCACTCACTCACTCACTCACTCACTCACTCACTCACTCACTCGCTCACTCACTCACTCACTCACTCACTCACTCTCTCTCTCTCTCTCTCTTTCTCTCTCTCTCTCCCCTCCTTTTTCAATTTTTAACATTTTTAATTATCGACTTTAATGTTCTTTGATTTCCTGGAATTTCCCAAAATATTCTTATTTCTGTGCTTTTATTATATTTTCAATTTCCGAACTCTTTGAAATATCTTTTTTACACGTTCTTAAACTTAATTTAAATATTTGATCTTTTTATGTAAGCCTGAATTATTTTATTGTCTCGTATCTTGATGATTACATCCATTCTATTATCTATCATGTCAATATCTTTAGCTTTTCTTAATGTTGGCGATTATAATATCATCCTGATCGACTGGAGGGACGCAGCCAATCATTTGTACGCGATATCTGTAAGAAGTGCGCCACTCGTGTCACAACGCGTAGCCTTTTTGATAAACTTCCTGGAGAATAATGCAAAGCTTGATCCTAACAAAACTGCAATAATCGGACACTCTTTAGGAGCTCATGTCGCGAGTCTCAGCGCTCGTTTCGCAACTAGCAAGATCGCCGAAGTAATCGGTAAGTCAGCGACAAGTTTTCAATTTTATTTATTTTCTTTTTTAGTTATCTTAATCCTAAATTGAAATAAATTTCTGATTTACAGCTTTAGATCCTGCAGCACCTTTATTCGAAACCAACAAACCAGGAGAAAGAGTGGACAAGTCGGACGCGATTCTAGTACAAGTGATACACACCTGCACGAAATTTATAGGCATAAAATCAGCAATCGGCACTTCTGATTTTTATCCCAATGGCGGCGAAGAACAACCAGGATGCGGTCCGATCAAATGGATCGGTAAATGAAGTCTTGTCAATATCAGTTAACTTACTGATTCATTAGTTAAACGATTGATTAATCCACAATTTGCAGGCGATGTCGAGGCGATGAGCTGTGCGCATTCAAGGTCTGAGATGTATTACATCGAATCCATCACAAATCCTACAGGTTTTCGCGCCAGAGATGTGTTTATGGGAGGACCATCGATCGATCCAAAGTAAGTATAGTGTTATTTTGTTTTCCAATCTGAATATTTATCTCTTTTCATCAAAATCAGTACCATTTTTCCTAATATTTCATTTCTATTTCTTTTAATCAAGAAATATCGAAAATTTTTATGTTTTTTTTTTCATATAATCGACACGTTAATTTTTTTTATCATTTGACATTTTCAGTGCAAATGGAACGTACACTCTAAAGACTGCCAGTGAACCACCGTTTGCACTTGGATAATTATTGATTGATTATTTTACGCTTACTTTAAATTTATACATATTTCTTTTCCTTTTTCTTATTTTATTAAAATTGTTTTTAATAAAATAAATAAATCTTTACTTACACTAAATCTGTTTATTTTACAGATTTATTCACTCAAAATTGTGTATTTCTTTCATGATTTCATGATTTCAATAGCTCGCATTAATAAACAATATTTTGGTATTCTTTCAATGTAATAAAATATAAAATAAATGCCAGAAAATCTATTTTTTCCAAATCTTTACCTCCATTTTTTAGATTCTTTTTTTCTATGATGTTGAGTTTTTTAAATAACATTTTAAATAATGTGATTTTGTTTTTATTGTTAAAATCTTTTTCTCCCTTCACAAGTAGCAGATTTTAAAATAAGCATTTTAAATAGTGTAAAAAGTAGGTCTTTTAATACTTATTGCTAAGTAATAACATATTGTTAAGTATTATTACAAAAACATTATCTAAATATAAAAAAATAACGCGAGGGATAAAAAACGCTATAAAAAAATATGCACTTACCGCAACCATATCTTCGATCGCCTGCGTTGATTTGGATCCCAGCATAACCATTCCCATAGCAATTCCAGCTGCTTCACCGGTTACGGCGTCATCTTGATATAAATTGAATTTTAATTGTTCATAAACGTCTTGTCTATGCGAGCCCATTGCAGCCAATCCAAGACCGAGACAGCCACCATGACGAACCATCTGGAACAAGTTTAAATCGTATAAAATTTAATTATTACACATAGTTAATAAAAGATCTATTCACATTATTATATATAATTTGACAAATATTTAATTTAATAAAAAATAATCAATTATATATATATATATATATACACACACACACACACACAAAAATTTGAAAATTTAACGTAAGAAAATGTCTCAAAAGGTAAGTATTGAATGCGATATACCTCGTTTTGGGCATCTTTTAATTGGCCTAGAAGATAATCTGTGATAGCGGCTCCGTGATTAGCATGTATAAGTCCCAAAGCATATAAACCACCGCCTTCGGAATATCCGGCACCGGCGGCACCAGAATCTCTCGGCAAATATGACTGCATCAAGGCTAAAGCTTCTTGCTCATGACCTCGATGAATAACTCCTAAAGAAGCCGTCGCAGTTAACTTTGCCCAATTAGTAGCACGAGCCAACCATTCCAAATTGTCCCTAAAAGATAACAAATAAAAATTTCAAAAAATTAAAAATTCTGCAAGAATCATATTCACTTCATATCTTCTATGTTTCGTTTTATTATTTTTTAAGATAAAAAATCAAAACAAATAAAATTTTTAAAAATTTGAAAACAATAAGATTAGATATCTTATGTATTACATTCCTATTTAAAAAATAAAAGTACAAGTAAAACATTTTAAATATCAAAAATTAAAAACACCTTAAAAAGTTCTAAAAATAATATGCATACCTCAAAAATTGATCACTAGTTGTCCCGGAATGCATGAAAGCATTCGCAATGACAGTGGCAGTGTGGCAAATTGAAACTCGTATGGCATCCTTGGTGTTTTTCAGGATCAACATATCTGTGTGATTGCTGCGAATCAGGAATTGTAAATGCAAATCGATAGATACTTCGCCACCCAAAATACTGGACAAAGCATCTACTCGCTCTTGCTGTTCCCTCTCTTCCGCATTCTAGAAAAAAAAAAATATTTTAAATTAATATTCATGAATGTATTGTATAATATTAATATATTTATCAACATAATGCAATTATAATTAATATCAAAAAATGCTAATAAAGAGAGATAATGTGTTCAAGTCCACTTGGAACATAGATATAAGATTTTATTTGAATGTTATTTTTGGGAAAGTTCTGGCAAATGACTGAGAGTATTTTTGTATTCTTCTTACACGACTTCTAATTTCAAATCAGCGTTAAAACTTTAGATTCCATATATCAGCACATGTAAGTCATCACGTCTCTGACAAGAAATTACAAATTTAAAAAAACAAACACACACTCACCAAACTTTCGACACTGCGCTGAGCCTTTTCTTCTCCGGCGGGAGTAGCAGTTTCCTCATCAACCTCCATATTTGTGGATTCTGTACTAGCTTCAGTGATTTTGGCAGCAGTAGTAGTGGATGGTTTAACTACAGGTTTAACCATCAACGCACCCGGAATTGGCGCAGTGGCTCGTAGAGCTTGTAAAACACGACCGAGAAACTGCTGAGTCGCTGACTCGTACAGATCAAAGGCAATCTGATAGGCCATCAATACGCAGTCATGCGAACCCTTGCTTAATCGATCCAGAAGCTCGGCTACGGCTAGTGGATCATCCAAGAAGATTAAGCACTGACACATGTTGACATAATCGGGGGTGCCGAGGTTTCGGTAGAGACTGACCAAACAGCGGAGTACAGTGTTACGAAATCCACGATTCTGAATCAAGCTCATGGCTACTTGGAAGGCATATGATAACATTCCACTCACGTCATCCTGGAAGAAAAAGGATTTCATGTTTGCATGTCTAATTTTAATTTCAAACAAATTATTTTATAAATTATAAATAAATGTATAGATCAATCTGTATAGATCACATAAAATATCAATAACGGTATAAATCAAACATAGATAGCTCCTTATAAGAACGGTTCACTTATAATCAATATAATAATTAACGAATCTCGAGTTTCTATTTTCAATCCATATATGTTTCACAATTAAAAAAGAGAATGTTGATTATTCCAATTGTTCGCGAATTGTCTTATCACATTATAAATATATTATGTATGCACCAATAACCACAGAAGTTTATATTAGCATTATTTATATTTGATTTATTCTTGAGTCCACAAAATTTTTTTATATTAATTTATAAAAAAAAATTTAGAGCTGGCATCTTAGTTATGTTTAATTTTTTTATAGAGTTATAAAATTTTAAACTGATATCCATCTTTTGTCATTAAAAATAACATTTTGTATATTATGAATATTTTTACTATACATCTAAGTGGAATGAATGCGATGTACTATATATATAAAAAAAACTCAATAGCAAACTACTTACAGACTGCATAATGGCTGCTTCAAATATATCCATCCTGTGTGTCTCCAGGGCAAGACCTAGAGCTTGACGATATTGATTATCATCTAGGCAGCGTTGGAACATTCGATTCACTATCCCCTCCAGTCTAGGATCAATGCCCTTACTACCTGGTGGAAGTTTTCCTTCTGCCTCCAGGACACGTTGCTGAGTGTAATAATCAATACACTTGGCTAGAAAATTTAATAATTAAAAATTAATAGCTTGAAATTAATAGCTTGATTAAATACCACTGATAATAATTTGACATACCGATAGTAGTATCAACATATTCATTTCGAGCATTGACGTCAAATAGCTCTCCTGCTCCAAGAGCATAAGTCAACGAATCCTCAAAACTTCCCAAATGATAATATACTTTGCTAGCAACCAGAGCAGCCAGTTCATGTTGTTGGAACGATTTATCTTCATGAAGAATCTCACTGTAAATAGGATATCCATTTAGAGAATAAAATGAACAAATGAAAAGCAATAATACTGAATAAAATCAGCAATAATATATGAATATACTTTTTGTTTTTTTTGTCCCATACATACATTTTTTCTATAGCCTCAGAAATCTCAGGCCAAAATTCGTCGACTATCATGTCCAATTTTTTCAAGGCAAAGACTTTCAATTCAGGCATCGGTTCCTCCAATAAGGAGATTATACCAGCTGCAAAAATTTTAATTGTATTTCAAGTAAAAATTATCACAAAATTGATATATTACAATATACATTAAATATGACAAATATACAAAAATAATAAAATATTAAATAACATATACTATGTTAAATAATATTAAATAATATTAAATAATAAATCTTTACTCTGATCAATAAACTTTTGAGAAATTTATTTCATTATTTTTCTTTAGTATCCAAAAATGGATGCTTCGAAATTATCGAAAAGGGATTTCGAGGTTAAGTTTAGCATGAATTGCAAATCATTGTGCGAAAGTTCGTGCAAACACGATAAAATTCTCGCATTAACAAAAGACCGACACAATTTGAGTACAGAAAATTATTTGGCGATTCACCTGCTGAAGTGATATTCATTCTGTTGATTTTCATCGAATGACAGATTCTCCAAAATACGAGTCCGAAGCCTAAAGGCTGACAGAGCCGGAAATATACACAACTCTACACAACGATATCAACGTTATAGACATAGGCTTATAAGATAGACGAAGCAATGGGCGCGTTCAAGTCAAAGCGACTAGCCTGCTCGCCGAGCAAATGAACATAATTGGTTGTTACTTATAGATCCAATCAATCATATTCAATCGCTCGGTAAGCATGCCTAACTGTTTTGCTGTCTTAAACTCGCCCATTGGCTCCGATAGTTGACGCGATAGCCAATCAACGTCTCGCTTGCTCGGAAGTGAAAGATATATTGGGTCATCTAAAAAGTATCCGCGGTACTTTGTCACTAGATATATGACCATCAACACACATCTAGTGACAAAAACCGCGGATACTTTTTAGATGACCCAATATATTGTAATTTCCACCGCGCGACAAAAGAAGAAGAACGCTTCTGATTCGCTCAAATATCGCCTTAACTAAAATGGCTGATCAATTGTGGCCATGAATTTTTGTAGCCTCGATGTCTATTCCAGTGTACATATAGTTCAGTGGAGAGATATAAAAAAGCATCTTAACGTTTAATATCTCGGTTCGCGAGGCAAAACGATATTTATTTCTGCCATCATTTCATTTCATGTAAAAACACATCGAGTAAGCTTAATTTTAGTGATTTTTAAAGGTGATTATGCTAAATCTTTAGTATAATTATCTTTTCACATCACATATGGATTTACTCGTGATATCCACTCTGATTTGTATTTTGGATAATATTGTGCCGTTTCTGATTAGATTTGTAAGTATTCTGGAAAAATATACCTTTTTGCATCTATTAAATTTTTTAAAATTTTTATTGGAACTTGTCATTAAAGACGATTGTAAACCTAATGAATCATTTTTTATTTTATTTACAAGTCTTTCGAATTTATGTTAAAATGGATGAAAATTTGTTTGTATTCTCATAAATAATATTTAAAGATATTTAAGTTGTATCGAACTATGCTCAATAACTTAATATTCTGTTGTTATTAAATACAGATTTCATCACATGTGTTGGCACAAAAAAGATATGACATTGAGCTGCGAAAGGAATTGAGTAATTTGAAAGAAAATATGGCAGGACTCTCCATGGTGGATGAGTTTGCCAAATGTGCTAAGCTCCAACGCCGATATAATCACGTGGAAAATATTCTGAAAGAAAACAGTGAGTTTTTCCTTCATATTTTTTTTATCGAATGAAAACTTGTAACAGATTATCACTCTGAAAGTATCCATCTTATCAATGTTGGATCTAGGAATTAATTACTTTTGACAAAAATAAGTTCTATATAATTGATATAAGATTATTTTTTATTATTACCTGTTTATCATAAAATTATATATGTATCTCTGGCTTTGTACAATCTTCCTTTTTTTTTATAGTGAATCAACGATTGAATCAGAAAATAAAAATGCAGATGTTGCTAATTTATAGTTTTCGTATACTGAACGTACGTATATTGCTTGTTTAAACAAGTATTTTAGGTTTTCACTACAATCATATTATCAAATTACAATCATATTTTTTTTCATCTGTCATACATTAAGATAAATTTACTTTTACATGCTAACACATGAGCTAAAGGAACAGTTCATAATACATTCATTATTTTATTGATCAAGTAGTGACACAAGAAAGAATTAAAATATCTTGCATACATATTATAAGAAGGGAAATTGATATAATTTTTCCTTCCTGTCATAATTCAATATGATTATAATGAAAAATCAAGAGTGTTAATCCTTTTACAATTTCAAGCTCTATTATTTTTTCAGGGTACATTAATATTATGGTTATGGTATATGTATAAAGACAAGCCAGTTATTGTTCTCTCAGAGGATGTGTTATGGCCAATCCAGAATTTCTTGAATTGGCCATGTCAACATGAGAATGCTATTTCTCTGTTAGCATGGCTTGTGATCACCCGATTAGGAATATCAGCATGTAAAAAACTTTATATGTGATTTAATAAAATGTTATGTAAATTATTAATCTGTCAACTTATTATGAATTCTGTAACTGACAGAAAGAAAGTAGTTAAAAATACTTTATATTACATATTTAAAGGGAGCTCTCTATCTTGTGATTGAACTAGCGTGATCTACAGAAAAATGAATAAACAAATTTCGCAATAATATTTTAGTTTTACAAGTTGAAAGATAAAAACAGAAATAATCGATTACTGATATTTGATTCGTATAATCGTGCTATATGAATCAAATAACGATTTGTCATCTCCAGCCTTGAAAAATGGATAATGTACCCTAAGAAAAATAAATGTTGCTACATAGTTTATTTCCTCTTTGTCAAAGGACAGTAGTGCGCGGTAGTATTTTGCAGTTACAGGTTTTGAGCCGTCATGTCCTCTCTTAGGTTTCTCTCTGCTTCGACTCGCAAAAGGAGTTGGTTTGCTCAAACTGGGCATTCCCTTCCATCATGATCTCTGCCTCACTTTAACCAGAGAAAAACCCTCTGGTTGAACAATAGTCTAGTTGCCACCGAGGGTTTAATCCGGATCAGAATGTAAGAATCAACCAATTACAATCCAGCATTCCTCTGTAACAGGGGAATATTGTAGTTGGTTCTTATATTCTGATCCTGATTAAATCCTCGGTAGAAACTAGGCCAATGAGAGAAACTTGGCTTGTTATCAGGATTGCGTTTGATACACATTATGAAAGTTTGGTACGTATGATACGTATACTTATACAAAGAAAGTTTTGATTAATTTTGTCATTATAGGCTTTTCAAATTTTAGTATTGTAATAAGAAAATAATAACAAATAAAATAAATAAACTATAAAAATGTGTTTAATAAAAATAAAATGCTTGAAATACAACTTTCATACATTGTATATAATTTATTATTACAGAAAGAAACCTGAGAGAGGCTATACCAGCCTTTTTCCTGTTACAATTGAAATTGTCTGTACATTCATTTTCATTTTGGAAACTACGTGACTACATACATTTTCTGACACTATTGATAAAATCGTCGAAAATAGATGTGACTCGTCTCTGTACTAAATCCTCAGAAGTGTTCTCTCAGGACTATAATTACTAGTATATGTCAAAGTCTCTATAATTACTAGCAATTATAGAGACTTTTAATAAATTCAATCTCTTCTAAACATATATTGTCCATTTAAGATATAATTTAGCAAAAACGAACTATAGAAGACCTTCACCACCCCCGCCAATTTTATTGACGGTACTCTTTTCTTTCTAAGTATACTCATCCATAAAACAAATGAGTTATTAATAAATTTAATAGTCCGTTTTGCAAGTAAGTGCAAATATCTGTATCTTCAAATATCTTATATCTTCTAATTTATCTTTAATTTATTTTTTATTTTTATGTCTAATTATTTTATTGTATTTTCGCTAATGAAATTGTAATAACTTTTTAAATATTATTCTTTATTGTAATATCTAATTTAAATAAAAGGAGAGTTATAAAAATTATTTTAATATTTTATACAAATTTATTTTTGCTAAGATCTTTAAAAAAGTATATAAAATTTTAGAGAATATATATAATTACTTTAGAGAATACATAATTATTTTATGGAAATATTTTATAGAATTAGTTTATAGAATCCTTTTATATAATTATCTTATAGAATATATAATTATTCAAATCAGTTTATTTAACAATGATTTAAAAATAATCATTTTTAAATCATTATCAAATAAAATTATTTAAAAACAAGCAAAAAAGATTAATTTTATACAAGAAAAAAATATTTACCGCAAGATTGCTCCGCCGATGCCTGATTCCTCTCCCAGGTTTCCTCCTCTCCTCAGAATAGGGTTGACATCCTCTCGTACAGGACACTCGCGTAAAACACTCGCGAATAATACACTATAATCGCGCGCGGACTATAACTTGAGTCCTTAACTTAAACGGCACTCCCGATGCAAACGCGCGACGCGACGAACCGGCTGCGGTTCGTTCATTTTCTAGTTAATCGGCGACGAGGGTACGTTAACTCCCCCGTCGTTGGATTTTTACACGAAGAGAACGATTTTACTCAAGTATCTAAAAATTTATCTAGACATATCATTCAGATAGATCCGAAAATTTTTAGATACTTGAGAAAAATCGTTCTCTTTGTGTAAAAATCCAACGACGGGGAAGTTAACGTTATTTTCGTGTCCTCTGGGTACTCCCATCACTGAGCCCTCCCATCACGTTAAGATCGTACCCGTGAAAGGGAAGATAATTTGAGAAATGTAATATATTGTATGTAGCTATTATCTATATTACTATGAAATTATTATGCAATCGATTAACTTTTAGAAACGAATATCAAACGTCTGCAATTCGTTATCGTGGCGAAATAAATTCAGAGTAAATAAAAGAGTTGAATCTTTTTATGATGTCTGTACAATGTGATTCAAGTCAATGAAATGGGCTAGAGATTAAAAAAGAGAAATATTTCTTTTATGATAATAAAAAAAATAGTTTCAAAGTTACGTTTAATTTTTAAACGGATCGTATAACGAAAAAGGTGCACAAAATCAAAAATTAATTAAATTATTATATTAAACTATATTAATTGTGAAAACAGGAATAACGTTATTTGCATGAGAGTATTCATACTAACATTGCTTTTTTATAACTCGTGTGACACTGTTCGTACAGACAAGTAACCGTGTCGCGTGCCGCTCTTCTTCATATTTCTTTTTGAAACTAATTTAATAATAGCAAAAAGTGCTAAATATAATACGAAATGTTGTATTTTATGAATATTCACATAATATGATTACTAATATGATTTATTATTCATTAAATACATTTTGTATTATATTTGGTATTCTTCGAATAAAATTTCAAAAAATAATGTGAAAAAAAACTGCACACGACACGACTACCTGTTTGTACGTACGTCGGTAAGGGAATAACTGCGTGGTAACTAACGGTAAACATAAACATGACGCGTCGCTCCGTGCCACCTCGTACCATCCCCACCTCAAGGCCACGCGCCAACCGACTAACTGTTGAAATAATAACGAATATTACGAATAAGTAAA